GACCCGGTTGCCCTTTTTTTTCTTTCTCGCCTCACAGGACACTCTCGAGAGCAGCGTTGCCCGTCCCGCGGCCAGGACTGGGGGCAACCAGCAACTCGAAGCCCGCCAGGCGCCATCGCCATGATTTCCTCCAACACGAGGGCGTCGCGATCGCGCTTCTCGAGCCCCTCGCGGCCGCTCGAGGCCAAGGCCTCTGCCGGCAATGAATCCAAAACGTTTATGCAGCGCTGGCTGGAGCCGTCGGTGCAGAGCAAGGCCAGCTTCGAGGAGGCGGGATTGATGCGCTACGGCGTGCTGGAGACCATGGCGCCGCTGGGGACGCTGCCCAAGGCCAAGAAGAACGGCGACGGAGGGCCAGGCCACCAGCCGGTGCGCAAGATCATTCTCCGGCCGTCGGGCACGTCACACGCCCCCAAGGATCACGACGACCAGCCCGCGCAGCCCAAGGCTCGCCCCAGCAGGGCGCCATCGCCCCCCGCTCCCTCGACGCCGCCGCCTCCCCCCGCGTCCGCGCCATCGCATCGGAGGGCACAGGTCGCCAGAGACGCCGAGGACGACGACTACGACCCCAAGGGAGCCTCGCGTCGGCGGCCCTCGCGGCGCGTGTCGCTGCCTGCCAAGCAGCAGCAGCATCAGCAGCAGCAGCAAAATCAGCAGAACCCGCAAGCGAAGAACGCAGAAGAACCCAAGAGCACTACGGTTGTCACGGCCACTACTGGTACGCCAAAGGCCAAGCAGGCCTCTGCTGGGCCCAAACGGGCGCATCCCCGCGAGCCAGAGGACAAGGAGTTTGCCGACTTGGTCGTCGAGGCGGCCGTGGACGAGGCCCTCATGCACTTTCGCTATCCTACGGCCTGGGCTCTCAGGACACTCTACGATGAACGGTGCGGCGACACCGACTTTGTCGCCATGGTGGAGGACGTCTTCAAGCAGAGGGCCGACGCCGAGACCAGGGATGAATTTGCCCGGCTGATCGAAGTGAAGAAGCGCGAGGGCAAGAAGGACGACTCAGGCTGCTACTACTTCGTGCCCCCTTCTACTAACAGCCGATTCCCTCCGCACACGCCCATGGCCGCTCCCTACGCCAACCTGCTGCACCGTCACGCCGACGACGAAAAGGGCGAGGGGCGAGCGGCCAAGAGGAACAAGACGTCGCACGCCGGTGAGACGCCTCGCAGCAAGAAGATGGCCAACGGCACAGGCACCAAGGCACACGGCGACAGCACCCGCACACCGTCGCGCAGGCGTCACCGGCGGGACTCGGGCTCTAGCGAGTCATCC